TTTTATTTTAGAAATTTAGTTTGAAATATGTTTTTACTTTTCGCAAAAATTTTGAACTTTATTATCTATCGTTAATTTCACAGTATTAATTATACTTATCATTTTGAATTTAAATTCAAGTTTTTAAAATATATTTATTTTGTCATATTAATAAATTCATGATGGATTGTCAAGACATGTGTTTGATTGATAGTGCAACTACACATACTATTCTTCAAGACAAAAAATATTTTTTAAACTTAACGTTAAAAGAGAATAATGTCAATACAATATTAGGTGCATCGAATATCGTTGAAATCTCTGGAAGAGCTTGTATTATTTTACCAAATAATACAAAATTATATATTAATGATGCACTTTATTCTAACAAATCCAAAAGAAATTTGCTTAGTTTTAAAGATATTCGTTGCAATAGATATCATATTGAGACGACACAAGAAAATAATATCAAATATCTCTGTATAACTTCTTTTATATTTGATCCGAAGCAGATAAAAAAATTTCATGTACTCCCATTCAACATGTATTATACATTTATAAAAATGGTTGAATCAAATAATATCACGAACTAGAAGTTCGTTGACTCAAAAAGTTTTATACTTTGGTATAATCGACTTGAACATCCAAGAACTATAATGATACGTCGAATAATAAACAACTCACATGGACATCTTTTAAAGAACCAAAAGATTCTTTTACCTAATGATTATTCATGTGTAGCTTGTTTGTAAGGCAAGTTAGTCATTAGACCTTCAACTACAAAGGTCAATATTGAATCTCCAACTTTTTTGAAAAGAATTCATGGAGATATATGTGGGCAATACACCCACCATGTGGATCATTTCGTTATTTTATGGTATTAATTGATTCTTCCACTAGATGGTCACATGTTTGCCTACTTTCCACTAGGAATGTAGCCTTTGCTAGACTACTTGCTCAAATTATAAAATTAAGAGCACATTTCCCCGATTACACAATGAAAACTATTCGCCTTGATAATGCTGGTAAATTTAGATCACAAGCATTCGATGATTATCGTATGTCAATCGGGATTGTAATTAAACATTCAATTGCGCATGTCTACACAAAATGGTTTGGCAGAGTCATTTATTAAGCGTTTACAACTTATGATAGGCCATTACTTATGAAAACAAAATTCCCAGCTTCTATTTGGGGTCATGCCATACTACATTCTGCATCATTAGTTCGTATTAGATCAACTGCGTATTATCAATATTCACCTTTGTAACTGGCATTTGGTTATGAACTGATATTTCTCACCTACGGGTCTTTAGTTGTGTTGTCCAAGTTCATATTTCACTCCCAACGTACTAAAATGGGTCCTCAACAAATACTTGAAATTTATGTGGGTTTTGATTCACCATCAATTATTAGGTATCTTGAATCTTTAACAGGTGATTTATTTACTGCACGTTTTGTAGATTGTCATTTTGATGAAATGACTTTCCCAACTTCGGAAGGAGAAAAACTAGATCCTGAAAAATAAGGTAAAATTTCTTGGAATGAAACAACTCTATCTCATTTTGATCCCCGTAACAATCAATGTAGGCAAGAGGTTGAAAAAATCATTTATTTACAAAGAGTTGCAAATCAATTACCTGGTGTATTTGTTGACACCAGAAAAGTGACAAAGTCATATGTTCCAGCAGAAAATATTCCAACAAAAATTGATGTCCCTGTACGACAAATTGTTGTAGTAAATGAATCTCAAATACGCCAGAAGCGTGGTCGACCAATTGATTCAAAAGACTCTATACCTTGAAAAAGAAAAATACATGAGAAACCAACCAAAAATTTCAAAAGAAGTTACATTATAAAAGATTGATCAATCAGATATTGAAAATACGATTCCTGAAGAACCACAAGTGTCCGAAAATAATGAAATTTCAATAAATTATATATTATCTCATAAATTATGAGAACGAAATAATGTTCTTATAGACAATATTTTAGCCTTTAATGTGGCTCTTGATATTATACAATATGAGGATCCTGAACCACAGTCGATTAAAAACTGTCAAAATAGAAATGATTTGCCAAAATGGAAAGAAGCCATACAGGTGGAATTAAATTCTTTGGAGAAGCGAAAAATATTTAGACTTGTAGTTCGAACACCTGAAAATGTAATCCCTGTTAGATACAAAAGGGGTCTTTGTACGAAAGAGAAATGAAAATAATGAAATCACAAAGTAAAAAGCCCGACTAGTAGCTCAAGGTTTTTCACAAAGACCAGAAATTGATTATGAGGAAGCATTTCTCCCGTAATAGATACCATTACGTTTAGATTCTTAATTAGTTTGACCGTATCACAAAATCTTGATATGCGCCTTATGGATGTAGTAACTGCATATTTGTATGGTTCACTTGATAGTGACATATATATGAAAGTCCCCGAAGGACTTAAGATACCAGGAACAAATGATACATGCTCGAGAACTATATTCTCAATTAAATTGCAAAGATCATTATATGGATTAAAACAATCCGAACGCATGTGGTATAATCGCCTTCACGAATATTTGTTGAATGAGGGTCATAAAAATGACGATGCTTACCCATGTGTTTTCATAAAGAAAACAAATAGTAGATTTGTAATTGTGGCAGTTTATGTTGATGATTTAAATTTAATTGGAACTCCTGAAAAACTCAACAAAACAGCTGATTATTTGAAAAATGAATTTGAGATAAACGATTTGGGAAAAATCAAATTTTATCTTGGATTGCAGATTGAACATTTCGCACATGTATTATTTGTTCACTAATCTACGTATACAAAAAAAGTTTTAAAACATTTTTACATGGATAATGCGCATCCATTGGCATCACCTATAGTTGTTCAATCACTTCATGTGAAAAAAGATCCATTTCTTCCACTTGAAGATGGAGAAAATGTTCTTGGTCCTGAAGTACCATATCTTAGTGCAATTGGAGTATTAACTTATCTTGCAAATTGCACTCGACCCGACATAGCTTTTTCTGTAAATCTCCTTACAAGATACAGCTCTACACCAACTCAAATACATTTAAATAGTGTTAAACATATTTCTCGTTACCTAAAGGGTACTATTGATTTGAGATTATTTTATTTTCAAAAGTTGGGATCTGCTTTAGTAGGATATGCAAATGCAGGTTATCTATCTGACCCACATAAAGTTAAATCACAAATAGGTTATGGGTTTACACATGGAGGAACGGCTATATCATGGAGCTCTGTGAAACAATCCTTGACAACTACATTTTCAAATCATTCTGAAATTATTGCAATCCATGAAACAGGCCGAGAATGTGTATGGTTGAGAAATATGACCCATCATATCTAAGTATCATGCGGATTAATTTTAACAAATGATAGTCCAACAATTTTGTATGAAGACAATGCAGTTTCTATTGCACAACTCAGAGGAGGCTATATCAAAAGTGATAGGACGAAGCATATTTTTCCAAAATTCTTTCATACACTTGAGCTTCAAAAGAATGATGATATCGATATCCAACAAATTCGTTCAAGTGACAATGACACCGATTTATTCACAACAGCACTGCCAACATCTACATTTAAGAAATTAATTCATGAGATTGGAATACGTCGACTTAAAGATTTTCGGTGATTAACATCAAGGGGAGTAGCTGTACGCTTTTTCCTTAGTTTAGGTTTTGTCCTACTGGATTTTTCTAACAAGGTTTTAATGAGGCAGCATTTATTTTTAGTACTCCAAAATAACTGTACTCTTTTTTTTTCGTTTGATTTTTTTTCCCATTGAATTTTTATCAAACAAAGTTTTAACGAGGCAGATATTTTGTAATGTGTCATTCAAAGGGGAGTATTGTAAAAGGAAAGATTATTAGGGTTTAGAGGTGAATGACAATTACACCCCTACAACCCTAGAAATAATTACTATTGTATCCGTAATTCTGCCCTATAAATACAGGGTTTTGATTCTTAATAAAATATACAAGTCTATTGACTCTTCTCTGTTCTCTTCCCTTTTCTTCACTTTTATAACAAATTACATTTTCACTATGGTCTTTAGAACGACAATTATTTAAATATGTTCAGATCATCGGAAAAGTCAAGATGTCAACCGGACAAGTTTTACTACAATTAATTGAAATGAGCTTGGATAACATCCTTTTTTGATTTGGGTATGGATTCGACTATTCTCGCAGTCCACCCCATGAAATTTACGTGAATTTTAATTTTATATTATTTTTACATGATTTATATTGTAATCATAGTTTTTTAGTTTTCTTGAACTACTACCCATTCTATTGCATTCTAATTAAGTCAATTTTATGAACGAGAAGTTGTAGGATGACAAGAAATTTTTAAAATTTTAATTTTATGATATTTTTGACGAAAAAAAAAATGAAGATAACAAAACCACAAAAAAGCTAAAAAAGGAGCAAAAATAAAGGCTAAAAAGATACTTAAAAGGAAAGAAAGAGAGAAAAATATTTATATATTACGCATCAGCTTCGAAACGGACTGCTTTCTGTTGCATGTTATGTAATGAAACAACTGCCAATTCATTTGTTTTGTTGCTGTGCGTAACAGATCCTTCCCGACCTTCTCCTTCCAACCAAAAGAAATATTCGAACATCACTGTACATATTTATGAAAATTTTACGGATTAGGTTTCAGTACAAGTAAATGAATTCTTCGTATCCTTAAAGGTTTAGATAAAGTTGGATGAGCACTTGATTTGGGATATGTTGCGCTCCAAGAAAGAGACCAATCACATTTTATCTATCGTTGATATTCTCAAAATAAATTTACGTCTTTCAAAAGTAAATTACTTCTTATGCTTTTGTTACCATTAGTTATGGCAATATGCCATTCTCTCAACAAACTCGAGTGCTTCCGACTGTGCATTTAGATATGAACAAAGATGTAGGCCCCGCCTTTCATGAAATGACGAAATAATTAAAGAAAAGAAAAGAAAATCCAACTGTTCCCTCTTTCCTATATATAACCACCTCAACCCCTTATTTCCTTCCTCAATTCGTCAGCCCCAACACTACCTCCTCCACCCAATCCACCACCACAACCGCCTCCTCCCCATAACTAGTTCTTTATTTTCAGGAAAATTTCTAAAACGTTAGAGTAAAATTGAAATTCTTCAAACAATCTTAGAAACGTTTTGACAGCACCATCATATATTCTTTTTATTAGACTTGAAAATGGGTATCGTGGAAGCTCCAACATCATCATATTCATCACCTGCACAGCACTCGCCATGGCATTCGCCGGTGCCATACCTTTTTGGAGGATTTGCTGCCATGTTAGGACTCATTGGTTTTGCTCTGTTGATCCTGGCGTGCTCATATTGGAAGCTTTCCGGTTATCTCGAGAATCAGGGCGAAACCGAGAGGGATCTCGAAGCCGGGGAGGTTAATGGCAGCGTGAAGGCGGTTCCGCCAGTTTTTGAAGAGAAATATCTGGTGATCTTGGCTGGCCAAGAAAAGCCAACTTGCTTGGCCACTCCTATGTCCAGCAGAGCATCATCTTTTTCCAGTAAAAGTACAAGTAGTAAATCAACAGAGACATCAGTGGAAGACAACGAAGAGAAGAAGAAGGAAAAAAATGATGGAAATGTAGAAATGGGGAACATAGAGGACCATGAGGCCGCAGATCAGGTCCATTGAAATCTCTTTTGTAGAACCCTATGCTATCTAGATTGCACCACCGAAAGCTATAAAGAAGTCGAGCACTCATCTTTTGAATGACGAAACTAGATTAATGGACTAGGTTTTGGTATTCCTTCTCGAATTCTTGTTCTCCCATTAATGGAAATGTCCAATTAGAAAAAAATTACTAGGATTTTGTATCTACTTTTGAATGTCGAAACACTTTAAACTTTTAGATAAAATAATTTAATTGGTATCAATATATTTAGGTTTTAAAAACGTCATCATATTACTCATTTATAAAAGTTGTTCCAATATCAAACATTTATTGAAAAAATAAATTTGATGTGTACGAGGTAAATCAAATGAGGCAGTTGATGTAAGAAAATATATGTTGGTTTAATTTGGGAAGATAAATATTGTAACATCATAAAGTGGTAGCTAGTGTGGTACACAACAGCATGCATTGTCTTGTTGAGTGGGTGCATTATTGTAGGTTTTGCACGTTAAATCATTGTGCAAAGGCTTCATGCAACTAGTCCTATGGTGGAGTAATTAATTTTAAATTGACTAATGAGCATAAAAGGAGTTCATAATTGCAATTATATAAGAATATTTTACAATTTGATAATGATTTGCTGACGTTTTAAAATATCTACTTTATAAAGGATATTCAATATTCAATTCTTTGAGGATGATTATGATTAGCGAGGTAAAATCGTGTTGAATTTGCAGGTCCTTCTTTTGGCCCATGTCAAATTTTATCTTGGCTCGACACTATTCAAGGGTAAGAAATGTCGAGTTTGGTCATGTATATGGACAATTCATGATGTTGGTCTTTTAAAAATAATAATAATAATGATATATATATATATATAAAAGAATGGCTTCATAAGCACCGGTGCTTAACTTATATTAAGTATCGATGACATGACAAATCATTGAATTGGTAAATTATTAAATATATGGACCTATCATCAACTTATTAACCAATTAAATGGTGTGTCATGTCACTGCTGCTTAATATAAGCTAAGCACCATAAATGATCTCCTAAGTATTGTTGCTTACTCCTTGACGGGATGCAGAACGTTAGTCAGATTGTATTGGCTGAATACATTATACACCTCTAGCTATATGTGAGTGGTTAATTTCTTGATGATAAACTTTAGAATTCCGGTTTATGTCAATTTTGGGCTAAATTAAAAGGAGAATGCAGGGGCTTTACAGGCCCCTCACTGTGTGGAGGGGCCCACCTGTATTTACCAAAAAAAAAAAATTATTGTGGGGCCCACCTTATGTCTTCCCTGGTAGGGGCCTGTGAACCAAACCCCTGTAACTATAGCATCACTCAAATTAAAACTATCTTGGTCCCTAATTTTGACTGTTCAATTGTGAAATTTTTTTAGGGCTTTACACCTTGATTCATGCACTCTTGAACAGAATGTTTGGGCATTTCATTACTTGTTGGGCCTCTGGATTTCAATTCTATATCGGTTTTGTTCAAAATTGTGGGCTAGTAGTTTTCTGTTGTCCGGCCTCTTTACTATTCGGTAGGCAGACACCTTTACGCCCGTCCTTTATATATTTAAGGGGTAATTACACAACAGCCAGGAAATGTTTAGAAGAACAATTTAAAAATCAGGCAATACATAAGAATTTCAAAAATCAGGTTTAGAGTCAAATTTCGAAACTCTGCATTTATAAGTCACAATAGTTCGTGCTATTAATTTCTAGTTGAAAAGGTTGAGATCTGAAATTGGAGTGGGATCACAATCATAGTTTATCGACCATAATTTTAGTATCAATCTCTATTTCATATCATATCGAGAGCACTTAATTTATTTTTACTTTTATTATTTATTAAGGGAAGCCACTATTTCCATCAATCATTATTATATATATACTTTAAGGAAAAAAATTGTCTATTATGCTTTTAATCTTATGTGCACTGATTTAAATAGACAATAAGAAAATCTATCACTCTAAATTTATTCACTAATAATTTATACTCATTTAATGCTTTTGAACCTTTTATATTCATTTACATTTTACGTTTACCTAAAGTTCTAATATTCATAAAAACACATTCTTCAATTAAAGTCAAAACAAATAATGGAAAGGACAACATTATATCAAATACTTACATATATAGTAATATATGAAGAAGTACATAGTAATTTATGAATAAGACTTTGAAAATGTAAGGATAGTCGTTTAGATAAAATAAAAATTGATGAGACGTAAAATTAGATTGATGTATCAATTGTTTATTGAGAGGAAGTCTGGCAACATGAACTTGAGGACAACATATCTGAACTCGCACAATGAATGCCTTCAAATCTATACATTTACATGAAAGATGTATACATACACACCTATGAAAGTACACAGACGGAAACTAATTCAGTTATAAATCTACACATTTAATTATCGCCTAAGGTTGAATGGTAAGCATTATTACAATACATGGGGCCACGAATAATTTAGAATATTACTTAGTGGGCCCATATATTGTAATGTTGCTTACTATTCAACCTTTGTCAAAATTCCTTTATGTTCTTGAAAATAAATGTTTAGACTCTTGTTTAAGTCCCACTTTTCAAAAATTCATTTTTGACCGTACATTCTTTTATAAAATAATTTTATACGTAAACCTCAAATTTTTCCTATTTTTTAACAACACATTCTTTAAAAATCACTATCACAAAATCTATTTATACAAAAAAGGTGTTCAAACAAGGGCTAGAGATTTATAATTGAAGTACCGATTGGCATCACAAAATTATGCATGTATATAGCATTGGATAAAAGATAAGTTAATCTGGTGAGAATAAACGAGATTCTTCAATAATGACAAAACTCTTTTAAAAATCATGTCTAGTACATTTATAATTTGGCAAGATGACAAGAACATAACATTATTCACATAATTTACAACACCAATAATAAGGTTCTCCACCTTATATAATTCCCCTCTTTTATAAAGCAACAAATGAACTCCTACAGATCCTCGAAGTCGTATCTTCTGTTACTGTATACTGTAGCCAGTTGAGTAATTTTGGCACATTTCTTCGGGTTTATGAAGAACATTAGCAGAATCCCAGGAGTTTGAGGATGCTAAATTGACATCAAATTCATTAGACAACCATCTTGGGTTATATAATTTTGAGCCATCTATTTCTTTGAAACATTGAAACTCATCAACCACCATCGAATTTTGTGCAGGAATAAACCCAACATCAAGTTCTGCTTGAATGAATGTCGAACTAGGCTGAATTCCCGTGTTCGTGTTAGTGTTTGATTGCCCTGAAATATTTTCCGTAGATGGTATTCCATTGATAGAATTTCCAAGTTCATCTTCTTTCAAATTGCTCAAATTGAAATAATCTTGTTGCATCAGAATGTCTTGGTTTTCCTCCAAGAACTGGAAATTTTGAACCATCAATGCAGGATTATAGTATAAACAAAAGGGATTTTGAAGAGTTTTAATTTGCATGTGTAGCTGAAGTCTTTCTAGGGTTGTCATGCTCAAGTTTTGAAAATTTTGGCTGTCATCTATACCATTTGAATCCCGACCTGAAATGGACAGTCTATTTCTGTGAGGTTGTTTGTGCCTTCCCAACAGTTTTTTCTTCAATCTAGTGTTCCAGTAATTTTTGATATCATTGTCTGTTCTTCCAGGCAGTTGGGCAGCAATTATGGACCATCTGATCAGATCAAAAATTATAATAAAAATGATCGAGCAACAAAAAAGTAGACGTAAAGACTAACAGAAACCTTTCAAAAGATGCTGTAAACAGGTTGCCATAAATTTCCCAATGTATGAATGATTTTTCAGAGAACCTTTTTTTAAAGTGTGTGACGCATGAGAAAACTTGTTTTCTTTTTCTTCGTCACACCTGTAGTGACAAGTGGAGGCTACTATTAACTAGAGAGTCCAATATGAACACTGTGTTTGCTTTGTTTGATTTTTATTTCACAATATTTCTTATTGCTCTCCTGAGAAGGATTCAGTGCTTAATCCGAAAAAAATGAGTCCTAGCTAACTAGGATGCACGTGTTATTCTTCAAACAAAAGCATCATAGACACTTGCAAAAGGACAACTAGATAGTTCTATCTGAAACTCAGGGCATGTATTGCTTTTTTTTGTTTGTCTGTATTTCTCTGCATGTGCTAGATGTTTTCTCTGCAATTAGAGAATAAGCGAGAGAGAGAGAGAGACCTGCTGCCAATGCTAATATAGAGGCTGCAAATTATGTTGTCTTCTTCCTCTGTGAATCCGCCATGTTTGAGGTTAGGTCGCAGGTAATTCAGCCATCTCAATCTGCAACTCTTTCCACATCTATTAAGCCCTGCACATACATATAAACATGAGAGACACACACGGAGAGAGAGAGAGAGAGAGAGATGCATATATACCAATTTTCTGAGGAAGAGCAATCCAATTGCCACCAGTACCATATTTCTCCATATAGGTCTTGAGTTTTGCATCTTCTTCAGAAGACCATGGTCCTCTCTTCACGTTGTCTTTGTCACAACAAGGGGCTCTTCCCATCTTTTTCTCCGACTTGAATCGACAAACACTTAACTCTTCGGGACGTTTTTCGAAGCTGAATTGCTTTCTCAATCTTTCTTTTCTAATTCTCTCCGAACCAAACAAAACCAGATAGAAAGTTTTCTATGATTGCTGAGGAAAAATGCAAGAAGGGAAGACCTGTATATATAGGTAGACAAATGATGATTGTGATACTTACAAGAACCAAAAAAGTCTTACCATCTAATCTAGGGTTTTTGCATTTCTCTCTCTAGCTCTCTCGCAGTACACGCACTTTTGGATAGTTAGTAACTCAAATTCTGTATTGTGTAGAACATGACAAACAACTGCATAAATTTCACTTAGATGCAAATATTAAAATTATTAGCCTTTCTTGATTTTCAATAATTTATTGTAGGGAGATAATGGTCCTGCAAAAATCAAGAAGAAGCCTCCCTTCTCTTATCTTGTCGTCGAATAATTATTCTTGTAAGAGCATATAATTGGTTCTTAATGGTCAACGATATTGCGTCTTGGAGTTATATTTCTAAAGTACAACTATGCAATAATCTTAAGTCAAATAGCTCAAACTCTTATTTATTAATTATTATTGCATAACAATGTGGGATTTGCAATAAATACGTCATCTCTAGATAGTCACTCATTCAATCTTAAAATTCAAAAACTTGTTTGAGCATTAGAAAGAAAGATTTCTTATTTAAACTTAATTTACGAGCTATGGTATATTTTGAGGTTCCATTCTAAAAGTTTGTCCTTTTTAAGATTTAAAAATAGTGATTCAAGCTCTTTTAGGTTAATAGTTATTTTCATATCAAATCCAAAAATTCTATGCACAGGTGTGTTCAAAGACCATTGAAATAAATAATTTTTTTTTTTTTTAAAGGGTGATTCAACAACTAAAAGAATCGAGTATACATTACAATAGTGGAAGAAATAATTTTTTTATACTTAATGCTTTAGTTCATCTAGAACCTTGACTATTTGCTCTTGAAAGATATTTAAAACTGAAACTAAAAAGATTGTGTATTCATTATTTAAGAGTGAAATCGCGTTCACCCCAAAGATTGTTTTAGAATTTTCTTTTCTTCCCTATGCAAAAGTAAAACAAAATTCCAAGATTCAGGAGCCCTCCTGCAAGAATAAAATCCCAAAACAGAATCGCTCTTTAAACTTTCACGATTTCTAATGCCATGCACGTTTGATCAAGAAATTTCATCATCCTGCTAGGGGAAGGGAAAAGGATAGGAAGGGAGCACAGATTTTGAATTTTCTGTTCATCTTTTTCACTAATATCTAATGCCATGGTCACATTTAATTAACTGATATTTTGTTTGTTTTAAAAATTAAGAATTAATCTACTTGTACATTTTCCGTATACATAATGGATTACACTCCCTCACATGAATGAAAACCCACACATAATAAATTATATGTGGGGCTCTCTACATATGAGGGGGTGTAAGACATTATATATATGAAAAGTGTACATGTAACATCACTCGAAAATTAAACTGTTGTTGTTTGTAGCATGTTGATCATTTCATTAACAATCATTTTACCTTACTTTTCCGTAGTGATTTGTATTTTTCAACAACAAAAGTAGCCTAAATGTTGTTTGCAGAAAGGTCATTGTATATTGTCCCACAACATTAAAAATTAGAAAGGAAGCTAGAGATAAATTAAAAATCTATCTGTTCTTTTCCTTCCCCATTCAAGTTTGCATGGAAACGGGAAATGTGACATGAGACAACAAATGAAAATGTAATTATAACACGCAACATTTTGACAAACGTCATATTAGAAATTTGTTTTTATAAATTTAGTATTTAGCTCAAAAAATCTATGCATCTTTAATTCAAACACTAATCACTTGTTAATATCTTATAATATTTGAAACTAGCAATAAGTTAATTCTTAATTGAAATTTGCAACAAACCCAAAATTATGTGCAATTCCTAACCAAAGTTTTCAAATATTTTGATCAAAAAGTCTCCATAACACCTCCTTAAAATTTTCAATTTTTATTAAATCATAAAAAAATAAACCATAGAAAATTTTAAATCTTTTCTAGGTTTTCAAAGCGTTTTGACGTATGAAATGAATATGTGTTATCAATAAATAAATAAAATCTGTATACTCTACACCCCATCATAGAAAAGTTGAAAATTCTCTTAACTATTCGGTAATTTTCTTACCGACTTATTGATCAGTCGCTGATTACGGCATAGCAAGTCTGGTTGGCTTAGTCCAAAAGCTAGGGTTTTTATATTAATAATATGAAAAGAAAGAATTTTAATATAAAAAGTTAAGAAAAACAATTCAGAAATTGGCCTTAAAAATTCAAAGCTTTTAGAGAGGGGCCCTCCATTGATTGACCTTTGTTCCCTAATATAATATTTTTCTTATGCATTTTTCTTATAAGACAAGAAGAAAACTATCCGAATTCAATAAAGATTGCAATTTTAAATTATCAAATTTAATCATATATGTAGGGAGAAGAAAAACCAGCTTCTGTTTGTCTCTCTCAAGGCTAGAATCTCTCTCTCTCTCTCTAGGTGTACATCTATGTATGTATTATATATATCTATCTCTCTGTACATTATGTGTGTGTATGGTATATCTTTCTCTCTCTCCATTGACTCTGCATTTCATGCATCATCAAGAAAAACCAAAACTTTTGACTTTTTTTAGGAGAGCTGGTGAAAAAATTCTGGATAACAAGATAAGAATGGTTCACCAATAGGCTTAATTAATATCTACATAGCAAATAATTAGTAAGTATGATTGTTGCTGAACTAATTTACTTAGCTGAAAAATGCTAGGTGAAGAAATTTTGAGTAGGATTACATGAATAATTTTTATTTGATTATTCATTGCTAGATTTATGAGAGCATGCCAAGCAAGTAGGTCTTTAGTAATGACTATGTTAATTTTGATAAATCTTATCTAATATGTTGTGTTACTGTAAACTGACCCTGCTTTTGGTCTGCACAACACATCCTCACATAACTCCTTTGAATTGACGCAATATCAGATCTACACGATGTTAATTAAGGGTAAACCTCACGTTCAATAACGAATATATAAATACACAACAAATAAAAGCTTGAACTAGTACACTTAAGAAAGTTCATGTTTTAACATATATAGAGTGTCAAATCTTAATATGATATCAGATATCATTGAGTTTTAACGAGTCAATGGCTAAAACTCAAATGAGCACAAAAATTTCAAGATTAATGTTCTCAAAATGAGTCATCAACTTGCAAGTGGACATTAAGAGTATATCTTACATCAAATAAGTATGAAAATTATATCTGTTATGCTATTCCAATCGTCACCCAATGCCGCCCATACCCTACCTCAAAGAAGAAAGAGAAAATAAAAAGTAAATAGAGAAATGATATGCATAATTTATTGACTTGTTATTGAGCATGGCCCTCCAAATTGACAGTCGCGGGGATCGTACGTCATTCAAGGCCTAAAGTACCAATGAAAATTGTTTCAACTTAGCTACTTCAGTATACCAACAAAATATATTTTTCCATACATAAGAAAGTCTTGGCGCGAATTCCTATCAATTTATTCAAAGTTATCGACTATCGATTCTCAACTTTTGACAAATTAAGCACTTAATTCTTTATTATGAAATTGTACTCCTTAATTCTTTGTTAATTTTTTTCTTATACAAACCAATGGCTAATTGTAAATGTACTTGCACTATATTTCTAGCCTCTAGGGGGAATATCCGTTGACATGATATTTTTAATCACATATTTTTCAAAAAATCACTATTCAAAAACATCATTTTTCCAAAATAATGGCTAGAAATTAAAAGTACTGAGCAGCATTATAAATAATATTTTGATTGTTCTTTTTCAATTATTTAATGATATATATAGAGTTCACCATTTAAAATTGTCGTAATCAGAAGTGTCAAGCCTTGTACAATATCATATAATTAATGTAGAGACCCGAGAGCCCTAAATCATACATCTTAGGCTATGGAGTTCAATCTTAATTAAAAAGTTAATCTTGTTTAATGGAGCTATACTAATTATTATTTTCATACTTAACCAGTGCAAAATTTTACTCTTGACAAGTTACATAATTAAAATAAGCTGTGCCATTCTTAAGAGACACAAAAAGGTCTTCTTTCATGTTGAAAAAAAGTATACAATTATTACAGTACAAACTTGTACATTAATAATCCAAGAAAGAGACCCCAATGACTTTTGCTTTACTTTTTAATATTAATTATTATATAATAATCAAGCTGTTATTATCCTAAAGGCACTTATATTAAAATAATCAATAAAGACTATGCAAACAGACGCAGTTGCTGAGCTCAAATTGGAGCCCTAATCCCACAAACCACAAGCTATTTCAACAAATGTCAACTCCCTAGTGTTTAACAAATCCATCTTTTCATTGCCATTCAAGATTTTGAAATTGGCACTTGTTAGATAGAGTTTTTCCTTAATTATTGTGCTAGAAATTTTGTTGGTCTTAGTGTGTTATTATAGTGTTGAAGATAAAATTTAGATGAATACATGTGATTTTTTTTTAAATAATCGAGCTTTTAGATGAAGTAGTTAACAAACTTTCTCTAGCATTCATTTGTGAAAATTGTTAACATGTTAGACGTTAGATGAAAAATGAATGTCATATACATTAAACTTTTAATATGTTAGTTAACATGCACATTTTATAGTTTGATCGATAAGTATGCGAATATTGTTCAAGTACACTATCATTGTCATTTGTCACCTAA